AGAAAATGACATGAAGGCTGTGTTGACCAGTTTGATGGAAGTATTTCAGATTGCATGTGAAAACCCCACACTGTACCCCAGAAGTGCATCAATGTACATAGTTGCCATTCAATAAAAAAAAATAATTTAAAAGATACATGTATGTATATGAAAGAAAAATTAAAAACTTAAAAAATAAAAAGAAAATATTACCCCCAGAACAATTTGTTGCCCACTAAAGTAAGGCATGAGAAAAAATTCCCCACTACTATTAAGGAAAAAAAAAACAATTACTGCGACTCAGATATTTAAAAACTACAGTAAAAACCACCTTTGCTCCTCCCCAACCCCCTTGGATGTCATCAGAAGTTCTGAGTAAGAGGCCAAGTTAGGATGTCATGTGGGTGGGGATTTACCCATCTTCACCAGAAAAGCAGTGGGATACAGGTTTTACTTGTTCTTGTCAAGCCTCCCCTCATCCCACAATAATTAAGGCTTTAGATATGTGGTCACTCCTTCCCTGTCAAAACAAACAAGAGAATAAAATAAGTACAGAATCCTCTTTAGACTATGGTTCACTTAGATATGAACTATTTGAGTAAGGTTTCTACTTTGGGAAAACTGAAAAGATTGGTAATAAGGCCTCTATTTCCCTTCTGAAAGTAAAATTCTTAATCCAGTTTCTTTGGTGACTGTCTTAATTTCCTCACTCAATAAATTTAAGATCATTAACACTCTGTATTAACACTAAAGTAAACTACATTAACAAGTGTTAATCATGTTTTAACAGTTAGCCCATTCCAGTTGATTGAAATTAAATCAATTTACAACCTGCTCTCCTGTAATGGAGCCAAGGCTTAATACAGGTGTTTCTACTTACCACATACGCCATGGAAAGAGAATTCGTCCTGCAATTCACGACAGTGTCTGAGGGTCTGAACCAAATGGGAGTGAGTGTCTTGTACGGTGGGGAAGGGATTTATGCAGGTGGCGGGAGGGAGGAATTACCGTAAATTGCAGGCCTGAACCTATTTAAAAGGATCACTGAGGGTAAAAACAAGCATCCCAAATTTAAGGGGGAGGGAGTAATTTTTTAAAACTGTCTTTCAACGGTTATAAACCTTCAATGGTTTGTTTTTATCCGACGTTTCTGAGCATCCAGTTAATCTATCCTCTGACAGGAAGCCTATCGGTCTATTGACACGTGGCCTGAAGTGAACTCTGGATCTCACTCCCAGAGCGCGGGGCGGGGCGGACACCAGGCCGGCCTCAGGTCCCAGCCTTGACCAAACCCGAGCTAAGTTTTCACACGGCCCTGTCATAACTCGAACAGAATCAGAACGAGAGGTGTCGACGTTTCTTTTAATTTCAGTCAATGCCAGTTACTCTTCTTCCAGGGTCCTTTGAAATGAGATACTCCCCAACCAGGGGTGCACAACCCCACACATACAGCTAACTCCAGAGAAAGTGTTCGTTCCTTTGGGATCAACAGCTAGCACGGTGTGGGAAAGACCTCCAAGTCCAACTCTCCTTTATGCTATGCCTTCCACTCGAAAGGAGCCTATCTTGATCTGTCCCTACGATGCTCCTCAGAACACAACTCCTACAGCTTGGGGCCGACTCACTAGGCACCGGACCCCATGGGCTCAACATCAGCTCCAGACGGAGTTTTGAGGCGATCTCCAGAGACGCCGCCCGCTGTCTCCCCCTCACCGGCACACGCCACGATCCGCTGGCTTCTGCGCCCGTCGGGAAACAAAGTCCTTACTTGGTCATGGTCACGCCCTCACACATTTGAGATGGGGTCCTGGTCTCCAAGAACAGCCAGGACAGGAAGAGACAACGACACTCCCCAGACTTTAAGCTATTACCGTCCCCCGCACCCGCTAGGGCCAAGCTCTAACTGTGGGTTACCAGACCCAGTAACCCCGGAGCTCAATCAGCAGGGGATCCCCCATGCCCGTCAGGCCAATAGCGGCAGGTGAGCCAAGACGAGCAGACATGACGTCAGAAAAGATCAGGTTAGCGCGTCACCTATACGTCAGTCTCTCGGCCGTCCGGTCCCGGGAGCAAAACTCCAGCGACTTTGGGCCCCGCCCCGCGAGGATGGAGGGCGGCCAATGAGGGAGGTTCTGAAGGAAACGCGACCAATGAAACGATCCAGGGGCGGGGCGCGGGGCCGGAGGGTGGAGCTGGCGGCGGCGGTGGCAGTCCGAGGTCTGGCTGCGCGCAGTATATGACAGTACGTCAGCAGCGGGATGGCCGTAGCTGTGGCGGCGGCTGCAGAAGCCGGAGCAGCCGCGGCCGCAGTGGAGGCTAGAGCCCAAGCGGCGTCGGAGGCTGCACCCCGGGGAGTTTAAGATGGCGGCGGGGGGGGCGGCGGGCCTGCGGGAGGAGCAGCGCTATGGACTGTCGTGTGGGCGGCTGGGGCAGGACAACATCACCGTATTGCATGTGAAGCTCACCGAGACGGCGATCCGGGCGCTCGAGACTTACCAGAGCCACAAGGTGAGCGGACCAGTGGCCGACTGGCCGGACTTGGGGAGGCAGAGGACGTTCCTCGCCGCCCAGCCGCGCTTCCCGGCGTGGGTGGGTCCAGAGGGGGCAGCGAGGCTGTGGCTCGCTACTGCTGCGGTCAGCGCCCGCGGCGGCGGGGCAGGGCCGGGCCGGGCCGGGCAGGGTCGCTGACGCTGCGGTCCCGGGCGGGCCGGGCTGGCTGGGCGCCGGGCTGATGAGGGACGGGCGAACGGGCGGCCCCTGGCGGCGGGGCCGAGGCAGCCACAGCCCTGGCCCGGCGTGCCTCCGCTGCGGGACTTTCCGACGGCGCCTGCGGATTTCCTGGCTTTGGGGTCCTAAGGAGGGCGGGAGTCCCCGGGGAGAGAAGCGAGGTGACCACGCTGCCTCCGGCTGGGGAGGACCCGTGGACCCAGGCTGTCCGCGTTTCCTGAGTGACTTGTAGGCACTGTAGACCCGCAGCGACGGGACCCAGGTGCACTGCCTGTGGGGTGGATACACCACGTCCTCCCAGGGATTGGGGACACGGCGGCCTGGACTCTACTCGCCGGGACGGGGACTCGCTCGCTTCGCGGATGGAGGTGGAGGCACGGGCGGGCCGGGGTGGCGCACCCGGTGAACTCGCCAAGGCTGGGTCGTAGCCCTGTAGCGTCAGGAGGAGAGGGACACACACACACTTGCATTCTCCGGGACCCGGACACGGGCGCGGCGTCCGAGAGGGACCTGGCACTCGGATACCTGGCGCCAGTCCGCGAGCAAAATGTCGGGCTCAGGGGAGAGGGGTTCGCAGACGCTCGGCTGACCCGAGCTGGCGGCGACCCGGGGCGCGAACCTAGAGGGTATCCGGGACGGAGAACCCTCACCCCGAGTTCTGGAGAAGCCCCAGCCACACACACACCCCCGAGTAGAGAGAAGAGAGGGTCGAGTAGACGCACTTACTCAGCGAGTGCAGGACACCCAGGAACGCTTTGTCGTTGAAAAGAAGAGGGGGACAGAGGAGTGCTGAGAAGAGATGAGGCAACTGGGGCGCTCGGGAAACCGTTTATGGGCATGCGGTCCTGTCTTGTGGACGAGGGATGGGAGAGGACTCAGTGCAGAAGGGAGGGATATACCATATGGGGCAACCGGTAACATTTTACTCCAAGAGGAGAGAGCAAGTCAGGAAAACAACCCACAGGGCATCCTGCCAAATAGCCCAGTCCATACCAAGGAACACGCCCCAACTGGTCTCATAAATAGAGGGACACGCAGACACGGGCTCACATAGTTACTCAGATGAAAGGGGAGAAAAGAATTAACATCTGTTGAGCTCCCACTAGTGCCAGGCACTTCAAATGCATAGACGAAAGAGGGCCCAGAGAGCAGCAGGAGAGGTGTGAATCCTGGTTCCCTGTGAGTGTGTTCAGAGAGGCCCTCCTCACACACTTAGGATGTGAACTCACTGGATGGGGTATGTGTAACAGCACTAGAAACTCAGAGGTGAGTGAGTAGTAGTATCAGAGTGCACTCACAGAATTGGGTGGATGCATGGGTGTACAAGTCAGTATGCACGTGTTACCAACCAGAGAAACATATGGTGAAAAACACTCAGAGACTTTGTGTGGTGGGGTCGGAAAGCATCTGGGAGGAGTGCATGCACAGGGAGAAAGGTACCATCCTACACTCAATTAATCTCAAGAAGAAAGCCCCAAGTACGGCTGGAAAGCCAGTATACACCCAGCAGTAAGGATGCTGAGAGAGAAGAAATGCAAGATGGCATGTGCCGATACTCCCAGACAGGTGCGCCTGCAGTGGAGAGACCAGCACCCACATGGGGTGGGAGGCCCACATAGGGAAAGCCAGATAGGCACACAGTGGAGAGAAACTCAGCCCTGCAAGATGAAGAGATAAGCTTGTCTGTCCCAAGGGGAGGGTGTGTAGGAAGGGGTGACAATGGGGAGAAGGTAGGTCAGGAGTGTAGAGAAAACATACTCAGGCTCAGAGAGAAAGAAGTCAGCAGGAGGTGGCCAACCTCCTGTCAGAAGCAGACCCAGGGAGCAGAGAGACTGACACACAGTGGATGGGGAGAGGCAACTCTGGGGACAGTAGGTCAGCTACCTTGGGGAAATAATAGGCAAACTGTAAGGATGATTACAGCGACATTGACAGTTTACATCGGGCAGGAGAGGTACAGTGAGACTGACAGTGTACTCTGGGAGGGGAGGGGAGGGGAGGGGTGAAGAGACCCAGTGGGGGAAGGGTAGGATGGTGCCCAGGGAAAATGAAGTAACAGAGATGCCCTCCAATGCCCACTCATCTGCATGATTACTGGAACCCAATAAAGGGATGCAGTTTGTTTTCCTACCTTTGTGTGACCTTCATTTCTGCCTCCTACACCATATCTGGTGTTCTCATGCTTGGTATTAAGGTTAGAATGCTCTGAAAGCCACTGCATTTCTATACCAGTGTCTTCTAAGTGACAGAAGATGAAAAATTCTTGCTCTCCCAACTCACCACTTAGTACTTTAAATTTTTTTCTTTAATTTTACTTTAGTTAAAGTTACCAAAGTCAATGGCTTTGTTTGCTGCTGACTACTTCTATTGCTTATTAATATCCTTGCTGTCTTTTTTCCATCTCTGTGCAAATAAATTAATGGGTCTGGTTGATCTGCCCAGAGGCAGGAAGGGGAAGACTTTTTCCAAATCGCTCCACCTTTCTAAGGTACTTTGTATTAGTCCTAGGATTTCTTTTCTTCTAAAATACTAGTGGTGGGGGTGGGGATAAGCTGACTTGGCCCAAACGAGCTCCTGTTCTCAGGTCTTACTGAACACGGAAACATGTTTTAAGGAGTTTGGAATAGCAGGCAGGAATTGAGGTGAAACTATCCACCTCAGCTGCATGAAGGATGGAAAGAGACTAAAGGAGTAAGAGACCTTTCAGGTATCTGTATGTACTTCTGCTACTTACTGCAGGATCCTCCTGAGTGTTCAGGCAAGCCTCCCACAGATGTGTCCTCAGTGTCCCTCCTCCTCGGCTCAGCCAGACCAGAGCTCCCCCATGGGCACAGTAATAGTTGCCAGCAGTAGGAATCTGGCTGAGCTTTTATCTTCCAGTGGGATATTTGGTGTTACTCACTTTCCATCACTATCAGAAGTAGGGCTCGTGACTTTTTCTTGCGGATATTGTTTGGGAATATGTTGGCATATGTTGTCTTACTGGGAAAAAGATTCTGGTTGTCAATCCTTTTCTCTCTGGGGAAAAAATGGCTTTGGTTTCTCATATAAAATTGCCTCTATGAATCTTATGTTCTTATAGGAGGGTGCTTAATGACTGTTAACTGTTTTAACTGTTCTGAGAATCAGAAGTTTTGACAGGCATTAATTGAGGCATTCCTTGATGCCTAAATTAAGCATCCGAGTTCTTTTTTGGTCTAGATTATTTTGTCCTTTGGATTAACTTTTTCAAATTAGTCTACTTAACCTAAGACTTCAAAGAAGTAAATTTAGAAATTTTAGGAAGGTATGGTTTAAGCAGAATAGAGACGTTTTCTAGATAAAATCAAGCAAAAATACTGAGCTATTAGGGTTCATGAAAACAGAACTGCTGAAGAGAATTCTGAGATCTTAATTTTTTTCAAATCATAATTTCTCACTTTTAAAAGACAAACTTAATTGACTATCATTATTCAGCTTTTCTATTTTTAGAGAATAGATCTGGGAACCTTTCTAAATAGGCAGCAGAACATGATGAGTCCAGGAATGGGAGTTATGAGGCGTTTACTCCAACTCTTAAAAGTTGTTTTCTACTAACTTTGAATACAGAAACAGTTTTAAATTTGTTCATGATTTGCAGAAAAATTTAGATATGCTAATATAGATATCTAGGATATTAAACTTTAAAATGTAGGTTATTTTAAATGAGGGGGAAAGTTAATAAAATCACAGATTACAACTTTATAGACATTCTAAATTAGTGTCTATGATTATGTACTCACCATAAGCTCTATGTATCTCAAATGAGCATATATTACTATAATTACATATTTCTTTCATATGTAAAACATATATTTTAAATTCGAATATTTAAAAATATATTTTGGCTAATTTTCTTAATATTGTAACTGGCTTTCTTTTGACATTTGAGTAATTCATTTTTATATCAAAATTTTTATCAAAATATTCTTTTTAGGTTTTGTCATTTTTGAATCTGCAATTTAGTTTTTTAAAAATATTTACTAAAAGTTTCGAAGATGGTGGTTCAAATACTATTACCATGTTTATCCAACTATTACATAAAAAGTCTTGGAAAGTTGCGTTGGGAGACAGGGATTCATTCTCTATCTCTGAAGATCAGGAAACAGGTTCCTGTAAGTAGATTCTGTTAACACATTCTGTTGTCACCTTTATTGCTTGAAATAAATTTTCTTGCCTTGATTAGCGTTTTCTAGGAAAACGATAGTGTTTTTAAAATTTTTTCAGTCATACTTCCATTTAACTTGACATGAATAACTCAATCTCTCTCTACATTAACAGACACTCTTATTTTGAATAAGAGTATAAGGTCTTATTTTAACCTCCAAATTTACTATTCTTTATAATAGCTCACATAAATGTGTTACATGATTATTTTTTTAATCACTGTTTCCACAGTTCGTGAGGTAGGTGATTTCACTTTAGCACTTCTACCAGGTGAACTTTTCAACATTCCATTCATTATGGTTTAAGATACAGGAAAGACTTGTACCTGCTTTTTTCTTATGTCTTCCTTTTTCTGCCTGCGCCCAAGTAATGTGTGTGTGTGTTTAATAATCTACATTATAAATATAGAAGACCATGTTCTCACTTCACCATTTGAGCATCCAGACCTGCCAGCACAGCACTGCCACCCAGTTGGACATGTTTTTAAAATAAAACAATGAGATTTGCTTTAACAGATTCCATATATTTAAAAATATAGCCAGGTTTAATTTAAATAACTTAATCTTACTGACTTAGTCCCATCTTCATTTTGCACT